CTTCCTGCGTTCAGGGTTTTCTTCTTTTTTTCTGAAATGTTTCCTTTTTTCACGTGAACATGAAGCTCACAGCTTATGTGATGAATGCCTCACCTGTTAAGCTCTGAGATTGTTTCCTGCTCTGTGTTCAATCATCATTTTAGAGCAGGTAATCACAGGTTAGCCCTTAAGTTACACTATCATACCGAGACAAAAAAACACATAATGCAAACAGATGGGGACAGGTGAGACCAGACAGACAGGAGGAGGAGGAGGAGGAGGAGGAGAAGAAGGAGAACAGGGGCTGACCTTCAGCTGCAGTCTTAGTGTCAGAGTTGGCTGACAGTCCGGCTCATGAAAGCTCAGAGTTGATCAGACCCTCGGACTCTGAACCAGAACCTTCTGCTGCACACCAGAGAGTGCTGCTTCCTGATTGGATGGTTTCACAGGTAGTACCCAGTCAACAGTTTGTTTTATTTTATTTTTATATGTTTGAATTTGTGGAACTTCAAACCACACTTGAATCCACTTGAATGTTGTTTTGTTTTTATCATCAAATTTAGATTCAAATCAAACACTCAGTTCTGTGTTTACCAATTTTTTTCTTTAATGATTCTGATTTTGAATTAATTTAGGTTACATTTGTGTGTTTGAAATCATTGAATTTAAATGTGTGAGATGGGTTAGTAGTTGAGTCTTTTTTTTATTTTATCAGGCTGCTGTTGACTGACCGGGTTTAAACGATTGATACACAAATCAGTTAGTAGTTTTCTGGGCGGTTGTGAGTCTGGTTATGTGCATCGATCCTGTTTCCATCTGTGTTGTTGGTGAAGGCTGTTTTTCGGGTGCAGGACAGAAGATATTGCTGACAGCAGCTCTCGCAGTGTTTGAATTTTTGGCTTCAGCTTGGAGGAAACAAACACCGCTGACCCGCAGTCTTGACATCATTCAGCAGCAGCTGAGGCCAAAACGCCATCATCTTGGATGACCCGCTGCTGTCCACACGCTGCTGGCATTAACGAGAAACACAGAGAGCAAACCGTTTCCTGTTCTTCTGTCTGACATGGCAGTCTCTGAGCAGAACCTGGATGACTACAGTATCTACAGTCACCTGGCAGACGAGGAGCTGCTGCAGATCGCTGTTGAGAGAAGCTTGTCTGATAAACAGGCTTCATCATCATCATCATCATCATCATCATCAGGCCCAATCCAAACAAACCCTAACCCCACACACAGAGGTCCTGACCCCCCCCAAAAGTGTGCAAACGGTTCCTGCACCTGAACCTGCCCCCCACATCCAAAATTGTATAAACCCTCCCACAGCCCTGTCACAGTTTCTCTACAAGGTCTACAAGAGGTGAGTCAGTTCGCAATGAAATAGAGCTCAGAGGATGGAAACATCCACAAACATCAGAAAGCAGCAAGAGATCAATAGACGTTTCAGAGTGAGTGTCAGACAGTCTGGAGATGGTTGCAGGGTGTGTGTGTGTTGGGTGGGGGGTGGGGTTGTTTCTGACTTGCTCTGTGCTTGTGACTCTGTCGTTCTACTCTTGTTCTGTGTTTGTTCTGACTATCTGTCGGTTCTGTTATGTTGGTTTTAACTCTGTGTTGATTCCAGTGCAGCGGTTCTGTGTTGGATCTGACTCTGGTTCCAAGTCTGTGGTTCTGAAGGTTTGTGTGTTTCCTCAGAGAGGTCAGTCCATTACAGTCCATCATCACGAATGGGGATGCAGAGGCTCTGATGGAATTGGTCCGGAGGCGGTTAAGCAGCCTTATGGAGCCAAATGATGAAGGCTGGAT